CATACAGCACACGTACCTGTACAGCTGTGTCTGAAACCAAAACTGCACTGAGCATGATCAAAATGAACAACCTGACATGATTAATACTTCCTCAAATACATGATTAACACATGTGGACTATCGTGCAGATTGTAGTAACATTCATTATTCTGAATATATAATATACAATATAGCATCCAGTCAACAAACACATGATAAACAATTATAATCGATGCACACACACACTAATGATGGAGTTGTGTTTTCAGTATTTTTGTTTTAATGTGAGTAGCTCCTCCCCTCTACAGCTGATTAAAGGAGCTCCTCTCCTCCTCCTCCTCCTCCTCCTCCTCCTGATGAAGATGAGTCACTGTCACTCTGCTCAGTGGGCGTTTGAACAAACTGACTTGCTGCTAAAGCCAAAAGAAAGTGAGAAAAAGATTCTGACCATCTGAATGAAAACACGTGGATCTGAGCAGAGTCAATGTATGAAAGACAGAGACCTCCTTTACTAGTCCTGAGACCTCATTAACTGATCCTCAAACCATTTTAACGAGCCCTCAGACCATTTTAACGAGTCCTCAGATCTCCTTAACTAGTCTTCAGGCCATTTGAACTAGTCCTCAAATCTCCTTAACTAGTCCTCAGGCCATTTAAACTAGTCCTCAGATCTCCTTAATTAGTCCTCATACTATTTTAACGAGTCCTCAGACCATTTGAACTGGTCCTCAGACCATTTTAACGAGTCATCAGATCTCCTTAACTAGTCCTCAGACCATTTTAACTTTTCCTCAAACCATTTTAACTAGTTCTCAGACCATTTTCACTAATTCTCAGACCATTTTAATGAGTCCTCAGATCTCCTTAACTAGTCCTCAGACCATTTTAACTGGTCCTCAGACCATTTTAACTATTCCTCAGACCATTTTAATGAATCCTTAAATCTCCTTAACTAGTCCTCAGGCCATTTGAACTAGTCCTCAGATCTGCTTAATTAGTCCTCATACTATTTTAACTAGTCCTCAGACCATTTTAACTGGTCCTCAAACCATTTTAACGAGTCCTCAGACAATTTTAACAAGTCCTCAGACCATTTTAACTGGTCCTCAGATCCCCTTAACTAGTCCTTAAGCTTCATACTAACCCTAACACTTTCACATTTTCACTTTAATATGCGGTCTTTGTAATAAAATCTGATTGGACAAATTGTCATTAATAATATCTATAAATCATCTTCATTAGTTGTAAGTAATTAATATGATGAACAAAATAAATAAAACACAGCTGCACTGTGAAGACAGATACAGCTGCCGTATTTAAATGAAATATTTAAACTTCAGATTACAGTTTTCTCAGGTTCCAAAATAAGTTATTTGATTCACTGACAACGTGGCAAGGTGTTTAATTTTTTTTTTTTTGTCTTTTGATAGATTTATTAAAACATTTGATAACTAAATATTCATAGATGAAGTTCAGATTAATTTAGTTGTATTTGGCCCGCCATATATGGCAGAATGAGCATATTCAAACATTTCTCCCCAGAGGCTGTGAAAAAAAAGGACTCATTAAGACTTGAGTTATTATTATTATAGACACAGATGAGTGTGCTGGTGTCCTGATGACTGAACTCTCGTCTAATTTTGCACCAGCAGAGTGTGAGTGAAGCTGTGGGGGTGAATGTCTTTGAATAGCAGCAGTGAGTCTGTGCTCAGTGATGGAGTAGCAGTTTGTAGTGGAGGTGGTGTCGAGGTTATCAGGCCTTCCCTCAGCTAACAGCACTGACGTGTCCCGCAGCCTGCCCACACACAAAAAATAGATCCTTCAGTTGACTCACATGACGATCCTCCACCTCTCATCACGTTTCTCTGGACGTCTTCCCTCCTCGCAGTCCGTCTGCACTTTTGTACCATCACTGCCTCCTTCAGACTATAGAAACACCTCACCTGTAAAAATAAACAAGCATTTTAAAGCATTCTGAAGGACGGATTTATAAAGTCTGTGGTTGTCTCACAGGAGTCTTTAAACATGTTTTTCAATATCAAACAGTTATAAATAAAATACAGAACACCAAATGTAAAAAAGGAAAAATAAAGACAAAAGACTAAAATTAAACTTAAGATTTAGATGTTGATAACAATTGAGTTATAATTATAGGTGGGAGTGTTCATAACCACCTAATTTCAGAAGGAATTTTGTTACATTAAAGTAGGATTTAAAACGGACAACAAACAATAGTACAATTAGATTTATACACAGTCAACAATCAGCCTGCTTTAGAAGAATGTGTTTCTTAAAATCAATAATAGGTTTTAGCCTTTTTTCTAAACCAATATGTCACCCAAAGGATGTGACGTTAATTAAATTACATTCAACAACTAACAGTTTATTAAATGCCCGACCAGAGAGAAGAATATACTGGATCA